GGGGGACTTGGTGATGGGGGGAGTCTAGTAAACATAATGTTTCTCATGTAATTGTAGATTAATGATACCAAATAAAAATAAATAAAGTAAAAGTAAAAAAAAAAAAAGAAATACAGACAAAATTAGGAACAGAAGGAAACTAAAAAGGAAAACCAAGAAAACTAAGAAAACTAAAGCTCAAAACTAAAATATATATAATCACTGCTATAAAAGGGAGAATATAAATTAAAGATTTTAGGTAGAACTTTAAAATATGTGATAGCTTTTTTAAAATCTGGAAAATAAAATTGATAAAATCTCCTAGACAGAAAAGCAAGACAAAGAAATGTACAAAGGGGGAGAAAAGAAAATGAGAGCATCAGTCTGAAAGATCCACATCTGACTAATAAGAAAACCAGAAAGGGTACAAGGAAAATGATGAAACTATCAACAAAATAAGAAAATGTCCAAGAATTGGAGGGACTTGAACTTCCAGAATTAGAAAGTGCCTTATTTCCTAGGATAAGGAATGAAAAAAAAGGTCTATGAAATTTCAGAATTCCAAGAATGATAGGTAGTAAAATCTTAGGGGGCAGGAAGTGGGGAAGGAGGAGAGAAGTGAGGGAGGGAAGAAGGAGAAGAGAAACAGGACACACACACACAAAGACCAGAAAGAATGATGTAACAATTCATTGAAGTAACATGGAATTTAGATGACAATGTACAAATGTCATCAAAATCCTAAGGGAAAGAATTCTAGAATTCTATATGCAACCAAAGTATAAATCAAGTATGAGGCTAGAACATGCTCAAAAAATACATGAACTCAAAACATTTACCTCTCATGCATCTTTTCTCAGCTATCTAATGAGCAGACATTCCACTGCGGCGGGCGGGGAGCCAAGAGACAAGGCCTTCAACGGAACCTCATAAATGACCACCATTCAGCAGGCTTACAGTGTGTTATGGACTGTATGAAGTCCTTAACCCCCAAGACACCTCCGAATGTGACCCTGAATGGGGATAGGGTCATTAAGGAGGTAATTAAGGTTAAATGAGCTCACAGAGGAGGCCCTAATCCAATATGACTGGTGTGCTTATACGAAGAGGGAGACACCAGAACACAGGCACACAGAGGAAAGGCCGTGTGAGAACACGAGAAGAAAGCGAATGCCCGCAGCCAAGGAAGGAGGAGGCTTCAGGAGAGACCAGGCCTGCTGACACCCTGACCTCCACAACCATAAAAAAATAGATTTCTGTTGTTTAAGCCACCCGGTCAGTGGCACTTTACTATAACAAACTAACACATAGTACTTCCCCACCTTTTTTTTTATTATGGTATCATTGATAGACAATCTTATGAAGGTTTCACATGAGCAACGTTGTGGTTACTACATTCACCCGTATTATCAAGTCCACCCCCCACACCCCATTGCACTCACTGTCCATCAGCATAGTTAAGATGCTATAGTCACGACTTGTGTCTTCTCTGTGCTACACTGCCTTCCCCGAGAACCCCCTACATTGTGTGTGCTGATCATAATGCCCCTCAATCCCCTTCTCCCTCCCTCTCCACCCCTCCCCTCTGGTAACCCTAGTCCCTTCTTGGAGTCTGCAAGTCTGCTGTTGTTTTGTTCCTTCAGTTTTGCTTTGTTGTTAGACTCCACAAATAAAGGAAATCATTACTTCTCAACCTTTTTGGAAAACATTTCTAGGGAACAAAAGATGAGGCTGCTCACGGCACTGGCTGGGAAGCTCTGGATCAGAGAATAACCACAGCAGGTGGAACAGGAGGAGATGGGGTGCTCTAGAGGAGATCTTCTCGGGGGGAACGTGGTCCTAACAGACCACTGATGATGGGGAAAATTGTGTTTCCAGGCTATTGATGAAATAAAAGAATGGTGATAGGAATAAAGAAAATTAAGCAAATTTTTTAAATGAGGTATTAACTTCTGAAAAAGTGAAGTTATATAACAAAGGAAATGCAATAAACAATTACTTGGTTGGGAAGTGAACATTTACATGTTCACTTATAATACAATCTTACCCCAAATTATGATAAATCTACACAAGGAATGGAGGTGGGAAATGGGAAAGAGAGGTAGCAAAATGCTGGGTCCTCCTGTCTATCATAGTAGGAAATCAGTAGGTAGTACCTAAAATGGATGAATGAATATATAGCTGTTTAAGAATAGTAGGTAAATATAAGAAGAAATTGCCTCTGGAAAGTAGAATTGGAAGAAAGGTGGGGACTGATGTTTTTCAGGACAAAAACCCCATTTTTATACTACTTGATGTTTTTAAACCATGAGTACAGGTTATTTGACAAAAAAAAATTATACTTAAAAGAAATAAAAATTATGTTCAGTTAAGGGTTCTACATCTTTTCATCCATAACTCTTACAGCTTGCACTATCTTTCATTTGTTTGCTTATTTTCCCCCAATCTTTTCAATTATTCTGATGAAGCTGTAAGAGAAGCGACTATCAAGGGAATCTAGGCTAATCAGAAGGATTTTACCCTTGGATTAAAAGCCATCTGGAAAAGGAAAACTAGCAAGATAAACTCTTCACTACAAGTGAAAGGTCAACTGGGCCCTTGAGGACTTGTCTCAGTTTCATATAGAGATGTACAATTAAACTCCCCAAGACTGCACAGATCTCCCAAATCTGCTATGCTTCAGATCACTGCAAGTTGGAAACCACGTCTGTCAATGAACATTATCCCTACCATATTAACAGTTTGAAAAAATGCTGTAGCACAAAGACTTCCTGACATTTTATGTAGAAGTCCGTATTTGTAGGAGCTTACCCATCAAACATGTTCTTTACCTTCAAAAGTACTGCTTTGTCTATATTACATACACATACACTCACATATAATGCATAGATTAAAACCTGAATAAGATCAATCCATCTAGAGTAGAGAATATCTCTTTTATTCTCCTTTACCTTCAATTCATTCATATATTCAACCATTATAAACTATCTATTAAATATCTACCATGACAAAGGTTCTATCAGGCTTTATGAGAATGTAAGGTCATGGTCCTTGTCCTCAAGAAATTCAGTGGAGTTAGAACAGTGAAAATCATGGAAATGTGTGCCAGCCTTCAACTCTTTGCATAATACCCTGATGGAATAAAGTACAAGGATTTGGGATATGTAAGGTTTGTAAACTGCTTTGTAATGGAGGAGTTCTCTTACAGAATGCATTCTTGTAGAGCTTCCAATGTCAACATTTTGTAAGAGGAATACCAAGCTTTGCTCTTAGCCAGGTAATAGGTCAAGTAAAATAAGAGGCTGTAAACAAGAATGCCTGTTGCTCCACAGTGACTTAGGAGTGCACCTCAGAAACTGTCTAGACTAAGAGAAGAGAAATAGTTTCAATATAAAGAACTGGATTTTCACTGATTAGCAGTAGAAAACACTAGAACCTCAAGATATGTTTAAAAACACTCAAAAAGTATTGAGAGTTAGAATCTCATGAAGTAGAGGTGACAAATTCACATTTATAGATGGAATCAATTCTTTACTACAAACTACTATCAGGGTAAAATAATCTTGTTTCAGTCATCTGAACTTAAAATGGCTTCTGATGAAATAGTACCTTAGTCTGAAACAGTTTTATTGATGGAATAAAAACTAAGGCTAGATTCATTTGACTAAACAAACTGTAATATATGATATACTTGCTTAGAAAATAAACACAATCAGCAAGAACACACAGTGCAGCTAGCTTCAAACCAACCATTTAAAAACAGGACGATATCACATAACTAACTTAAATGCAAAGGTGAGATTCAAGATTGAAAAACAGAATGAATAAGAGCCAATGTTAAAAAATAAATGTTGTGGATGTGGGGAAAAAAAAGAGCCAGTGTTGATCCTTGCTATCACTTGATAGTCGTAGCACACTCAGGCACAACACTAACTGCTTAACAGTCAGGACGGCGGAAGTCTTAGTTAAAAGCATGGACTGTGGGGTCAGGATGCCAGGGCCCAAAAACCAGTTCTGTCACCAACTGGGGACTTTGGACAAGCCACCAATCTCTCTGCGTCCCTGTTTTCTCATCTCGAAAATGCAGACAATATTGGTACCTACTTCCCAGGACTGGGTGAGACACAAAGGGACGAGTATATGTAAAATGCGGAGAACACTGCCAGGCACATAGGGAGTGCTACAGAATTATTAGCTGCTGTTGTTTTTAAACTAGTAAGTGGCGGACAGAGCCAAAATATAAACTCTAGGACAAACTTTTCACTTTTAAATGCCAGGTATGTTGACTAAAAGACACCCTACTGAAAATTAATTAATCAGTAGTGATACAATGCTATGTTTCTTGAAGGTAAAAAAAAAAAAAAAAGACAAAAAAACTACATATGGATAAAAACTTAGAAATAACCATGAAGGAAAAAGAGTGAGGCTGGCCAATGGGATCAGATGGAGAAACGCAGTGTAGGAGAGGATCCGCTGTGCAGCGGACAAAGCACTGGAGTCAGGAGACCTGGGCTCTAACACCAGCTCGGCAACCAGCCAGCTGGGTACCCCTGGGGGGCTGAACATGCGGCGTCCCAACTTCCTCACCTGTTAAATGAAGGGGCAGATAATTCTGAGATATCCTTTAGTGCTGACATACTATGATCCAATAGAACATACAGTATTTTAATATGTACTTTTTGTAAAAAATAGGTATTACTATTTATTTTTTGAACAGCTACCTGCATTTCAGTAGGCAGATCATCTAGAATGAATTTATGATAACTTTAGGCTGAGCAGTTGCAGGAGAACAAAATAAATAGCATAAGCAACCTTGTGCATTTTTAAAAGCCATTAAAACTAAACAGGTTATTCTCAGAAATACAAAAAAAAAAAAGAACAGTTTTGATGACTGGGTAGTAATCTTTCAAAAATACTAAGTTTTTAACAGGAGAAGTTGTAAAATATTTCTTATATATGTGGTTAATATTAGTAAATAGTACATTCAGTTTTATAAGTAAGTTGAAAATGAAAAAATTTACCTTTCTGCCCATGACGACTGCTGAATTTATCTCCAATTTCTGGACGCCTCGTCTGTCTCAGCAGCATTTTGATCAAAAAAGCATCTTCAGCATTTGAAGATATCATCACTTTTTCAATATATGAATCCGTTGCCCCTTTGTAGCTGATGTTAAGAGAAAGTTACTAAAGCAGAGTTTTCAAATTGCCCTTTGTGAACCTATTACCCACAGGCCATATTTTATTTAATACCTTCCAGAGACATTCCTATTTTGGGCTCTGAAAAATTACTTTCATTTTTCAACCTTAAATTCAAATGTTACAATTTCCCTTTCCCGGTCCTAACCGAAAATGGCCAACATTTATACTAAACACCCATTATGAGGCAGGCATAATGCAATGTAACCTTCACTACACATATTATTTATATACTGTTGTTCTCTCTTATAGACAAGACGAGATTAAGAACTTGTCTAGGACACTCGACTCACACGAACTGGGACTGGAATTTGGGCTGAAGCCTGTCAGACTCAATTTCAAGTTCTTAACAATTTTTTAAGTTTTTAACAATTACTTTTATCTACTTGTCTTTCCCATTAATATTTTCACAGTTTGGCCCTTCTTGTGTCTGTTAGTCATACAACAGCTGTTACTAAAAGTCCACTTTGTGTCAGCTCCTTGTATATACAAAGCTCTGGATATATAAAGATTAAGAAGACATGGTTCCTGCCCCCTAAAAAGAAGAGAAACATAAATGCAGTAAAGATCAATGGTATGGAGAATAGGGAAGACTCAGGGGAGACAACAGTCAATCCTGCTGGTGGCTGGGGGAGACAGAGGCGGCGGCAAGGGGCAGGTGATCGGTCTGCTTCAGAGAGGAGGTGACCCTGGAGCTGAGACCTGCCGACGGGAAGGGCACTCAGGCAAAGGGAGCACATGGGCAAACACATGGAAGCCTCAAGTTAGGCGGCACATTCTGGAGTGTAAGAGACACTTCACTAGAAATATGGGGCCCAGTGTACAAGAGTAAGGCTAGAGCCAAGGGTTACGGGCAGTCTTGCGTGTATTACTATTTCATTTGGCCTTTATCCCACAGGTAAGTCATTGAGAGTTTTACTCAATCTACTCAAGTTTTATTTTATTTATTCAAGAGAGTAATATGACCAAGTGAGTAATTTAGAAAAATAAATCACTCTGGTAGTAATAGAGAGACAGCATGAGAGATACGGAGAGGCGCAAAACTGGAGGCAGAACACAGTTATTGATAACTGAAGAGTCTGGCAGGGGGAGGGCTGGAACTCGGCAACACCCATCATGGACAAAATGGTGAGGACAGAGCTAAGGAGGTGGAAACTAGAGGAGTTGCTGAACTGGCATGTGCAGAGGTGAAAGGACGGATTCTGTTGCCAGGTTTGTGCGGCAGGTGAGACTGGCTGGATGGTGGGGTCATTTGCCAGGAGAGGGACCTGCTGGGGCTGGGTAAGGGTGGGGAGGTAGTTGGTTTTGGTCTGGGTTTGGGGCCCCTTAAAGCTGTCTAAGTACTGATACGGAGCTGGACCTGGGCAAATGTTTATCTGGGAGCCATCAGCAAAAAGAGTGACTGGCATGCTGGGAGCATGGGAGCTCATCCAGACATATGCAGAGAGTCACTGACTGGGATCTGGTCCCTGCAGCCAGGCAGGAGGGAATCACAGAGAATGAGGGCCAGGGGAAAGCGGTGTCCCAAAGGCAGGGAAGATGGGTCACTGGTATCAAATGCTCTAGAAACTTTTTACGAAGTATATCCACCCATTTATAACTACAGACTTATTACCCACCATGTGCTAGGTGCTGTACCAGGTGCTAGGGGTACTCAGTGCACAAAAGATATAAAGCCTCAGCCTGCAAAATCAGGACTGAAGAGTCCACTGCACTTGGCCAGTCTGACACCTGTGGGTTTTGCTATTTACCACCTGTCTTTCCTCACTGTGAAAGTGCCTAGTGGGCTCCACCAGGGCAGGGTTTTCTACCTCTGTAGCTCACTGAGCTATCCCATGCACCTAGATGAGTTCCTAGCATACAGTCAATGTTCAAAAAAATAGTTCTTGAGTAAAGTGAATGAATAGGCTGTCTTTGGTGACCTCTTCCAGAGCCATTTGGGCGGGATGAAGCGGGGAGGCTGGAGGTTCAGGGGGCTTAGGGAGCCCGTGGAAGGGAAGAAGCGGAACAGACTGCAGATCACTCTGCTGAGGAGCTTGGGGCTGGAGAAGCAGAGCGGTAGCTAGAAGCCACAGAGTGCAGAAAAAGGTTTTACTTTCTTTTAAAAATAAGAAATATTTGAGCACATTTTCTACCCTGTGGGGAAGGAATCAATAGAAAACAGGTTGAAAATATGAGAGACAGAAAATGACAGAGTAAGCTCTCTAAAGGAGTGGATCAAGGGAAGAACCCAGGAGGACGGACATGCTTTGAAGAGGAAGAGACATCCTCCCTCACGACAGGAAGAACACCCACCAACTTCACACCCTTTGTGATTCCAAGGCTTTTCTAAATAGCTTTCCATGTGGTGGATCAGTGTGAGGTTCTGAGCCCGCCCCCACAGTCTCCTCTGTGCTTCTGCTCACAGCACCCTCAAGGCTGCTGCAGGTAGGGGTCAGGAGGGGACTCTGAAGCCACACTGTGAGTTCAAGTCCTGGCTCTGCCACTTGTAGCTGTGTGACGCTGGTACGTTACTTGCCCTCTCTGTGCCTCAGTTTCCATGTCTTTCAAACGTGGCTACTATGAGAACCTAGCTCATGGGGTGGTGGACTGAGTTAACTACTGTAAAATGCCCAGAACAGTAACTGATGCAGGGCAAGTTCTCAGTTAAGCTATCATGATCATGGTATTTATCGCACTTCTTTTTTACGTAGGTCCTTGTCAACTAATGTGGCTCCTTGCAGGCATGGCTTGTGGTTTCTTTCAGCTCCGTATCTCCGGCACAAGTGGCACAGTGGCTGGCACAGAACAGTCTCAACAATGGGTTTGTTCAACTGCCTTTCGCAGCTCAGGAGCTCCATTTTCTGACATCACCCTACCCCCATAGCCACCTCACGAACTTAGTTAACTAGTTCACCTTGACTAGATTAAACATCTGGTTACTTGTAGTTTTACTTTTGTATCACAGTGTGGTTACTATCACTGGCTCATGTCTCATCTCACTATATTTTGTATTTCATTGTATTTTAGAACTCAGAGGAAATTTGGAGATTAGTATAACTCTTTCATTTTACAGATGAAAAAACCGAGGCCAAGAGAGTTTCATCACTTTATCTATGAAGATAATACACCTCACAGTACAATAACCCAGCTATATCCTAGTATAGCAGGGATGCCACGCTTTGCTTTGTGCTACTTTTTCTAAAATAAGTCTGAACACGTCACCCTCTACCACAGGAATTCCCAACTATTCCATTACCTAAGCCCAAGAAGGTGCTCCTCCAAACCCAGCTGCTTTTATGCCCACCTGCCCTTCATCTTGCTGTTCCCTCTGCCCAGAACCTCTGCTTATTTGACCCACAACTAAAACCCAGGTGAGAAGGTCTGTATGATTGCACAGACCAGTTTCATATTCTATACCATGGTCTCTTCAGGACAAGTACTAGCACCCCAAATTGCTATTCCTAGTTCTCTAGCCCTCCAAGAGCTAACTTTCCCTGTTTGCCCCTTCTTTCTTTGAATGTACGTATTCCCAAGGCACAGCCATTACATACGTGATGGGCACATCTTTGTACTGGGGTTGCTGCGGCACATTACTTCCCTCCAAGGGAATCTGAGTTACTGTGGGCATGGACTTATTTACAAGCACTTGCTTGTTTTCTACTTTCTCACCTAAGAAAGAGAGAAGGGTGTTAGACAAATCCTGACCATCTGTGTGGAATGCAAAGATTACTGGGCATAAAACTATGTGGTTAGACGTGGCCCATGAAATCCAGACATGGAAGAAAAGAAAGAGGCCATACAGCGGGAATTTGAATTCATCAGGGCTTGTTTCTAAATCTGCAAGCCCACTTGAAAAACATCACAGATTAAGATCACCGTGTGTATAAAATTAAGAAACTGACTTCGGGACCACATCAACAAGAGAAACGTATCAGTAGGTCACAACATTTTATATCTCAGTGTGTCAGAACAGGATGGAGCTCTGTTTTTATTCATAGTTACTCTAAGCAGTAATAAGTTACCACCAGCTTAACTTGGGCAGTGAGAAAATAAAGCTATTTCTTTGATTTTCCTGCTCTTCTCCCCTCTGCTTTGCATCTTCGCACAGCAAGCTCACAGACAGCTGTTACAGCACTGCCACACCACTCACCTTCCCAGCCACATGACCTCAGTTAAGAGCCAGAGAAATTCTCCAAGAAACAAAGGAAGCAAGAAGGAGGGGAGCCACGCACCGTGCAGCTTGGACACTTCAGGGGACACAGCACTTATCACCCACGCAGCCTCTGGGACAAGGCCATGTGGACCTCCCCTCCTAACCACCACGAGCCCAGCCCTTCCCTCCACCTCGCCACAGCCCTTGCCGCCTGGTCTGCCTCAAGAGCTGTCACTTGGTCTCCCTCCAGCTCGGCTCCTTTCTACTCTTTTCTCCACGTTGCCATCAGAATGATCATTTCAAAATGCATGTCTGATTGCATCATTGCTTTTATGATCATAATGAAAGCAGTAATGTGGTTGTAAGACCTTGTGACTGGCCCCAATCTTCCCCCCCGCTCCTTTCTCTCTAGGCTCACATTCACCGGGCTCCCCTACACTCTCTCCCTTTTAGCCACACCGGCCTTCTTTCAGGTTCCTTAACTATCAAGCCGCAGGACCCCTGCGCAGGCCGGTCCCACTGCTTAGAACACTCCCCTCTTCTTTTCATCAGTTAACTCAGAGCTCAGCTCACTTCCTCAGGCAAGGCTACCTCCATCTTGATGACTAGGTTAAATCCTCATGCTATAAATGGCCTCACAGCTCCTAAATGACTCCTTAACCTGGTTACCACTTGGCATATATCTGTGTGTGATCCTTTGATCAATGTTAGTCTCCCACACTAGTAAGACTCGTAAGGGCAGGGGCTGTGGCTTACATCAACAAAATCCATGACAAGTTTGAAATTACCATGGGGTCACACATTTTAGGGTAAGCAGGTTCTAATAAAGTTGGTCTCTAAGCTGACTGCATACATGATGAAACAGCAGTGCAGATGCAGGGAGACAACCTTATTCTAAATATTTCCTTAGAGTGACTTTTCTGTGATTCAAAGTCATAACTAAAAAGTAAAACTAGAATAGATTATGGCTATGTGAAAACATATGCCTAGAAAAACAGCCTGGAAGGAAATTCATCAAATAACCACACTGGTTGAGTTAAGAGAGTGGTTTTATACCTTGTTATTTTGTCTGTCCTGTTTACCAAATATTCCAAAATATCACTGAATATTCATGATGAAAAAAATTTTTAAGGCTTCTACCTGGAGAACAAATACCATCCGCATCTAAAATTTCATGCCGCCAGATGGGTTTCCTTGTAGCAGCATCCAACATCGGCCCCATCACTTTATCAAAAGTCTGATTGGTATATCGTTTCAATGTACATTTAGCATTTTTATAAACAAGGCAACGCCCAAATCCTGAAAAGAAACCAAAGTGGTTATTGGAACCACCAATAATACGAACCCATGAGAAAAACAGAGATTTGTGTCACGCAATAACCTCTCCACCACCCACCCCCACCAACCAAAAAACAACCAACCAAACTGCTCTACTCTTGGATAATCTGGGATGCCCAACCCAAATGACAATCTGATAGTCTACCCACTCTCCGTGTGAACACTGGAATCTCTAAAAAAAAAAAAATCGACAACCATTTTTTGGGCATGGAATACACCTTGCGTGTTGGAGGAAGGTGAGAGAAAATGAAGAGTCACCGATTCCTCTGGAGCAAAGAGCCCCAGAATGTAAGAACTGGAAAGGGCCTCAGACATCATGTGGCTTAATCCCTCTACCTTACAGGTGCTATGAGTGAGGTCCAGAGAAATTAATGGCCAAGGTCCCCCAGCAAATAGGTGGCAGAACTGAGACAGAACAAGTCAAGATCAGCTAGGATTCTTTCTGGACATCCTTTTAGTATATAACTTCTGCTAACTTTCTCTGGGAAGTTCTTTTTACTGATTTTAGCATTTAAAGGAAGTCCCAAACAAGCAAACAAAAAAAAAATGTAGTTTTTTTCTAGAGAGAAGAAAGAATAAGAAGAAACAATCAAATTATTTCAATGGGAGAGATAGTTTGCCTCTGCCCTGAAGATAAAAGTTTACTTTAAAAACATTTTTAGATCACATTTATCTAGCGGATGAGGGAAAAGTCCTGATCCCAACTCACAACCTACACATTAAGAAAAATAAAATAAGCAGAAAACTTTTAGATGTAGCAAAACCTCAACCCCTGAATTCCCCAGAAGAGTCATTAGTTGCAGAGATGCCCAAAAGAGCTGTTAATTCTTCAACACTAAATATTATTTCCCAAGATTCTGTGCCTGCATTTTTTTCTTTTTCCCCCTTTAACCAAGCAGTTATTTTAAACTGGACTCTCTCTCTAATCCCTCTAGGATATACTGAGCCATGTTGGAGTCCACTTAAGTCGGAAAATGTCTCAGAATTAAATGCCACCTATTGCTGATTAAACAAATGCACAGTTGTAAAATTCTTCACTTATGATTCTTCACCAAAAGCATAACTTTCAGGAAATCTAAGAATGTGAGTTTAGGAAATCAATTAGGAAAAAGTGGATTTCTAAATAAAATTTCAGTGCTCTAATATAATATTTTAGATATAAAGGTGACTATGCAATGAAACAACACATTTTTATAATTGGATGGTAGATGAAGACGTTTGTGTGTCTCTGAGAAAGGTCTTGGTCATTATGCCTCCTGGTAAATTGTGTATGGCCATAACAAACTCAGCTCAGAGAGCCAGCTGCTCTGGAAACATTACATGATCTTAAAATTCTGTACAATGGCCATTAACAGCAACATGCTGGAGTGCAGTGTGAATCTGAACTGCATGAAATCAAGAAGTGTTTTCTTCTAAGTGTAAATGGACATTTTATTCACAGGTGATAACTTAAAGCTAGAGGACAGTAAACTTAGATCATTAAATTGTGTTGCAGTTTCTGACAGATATCACTAAGTCTTCAGATTTCCACATTAAGGTTACCAGTTAATCAGAAAGGAAAACATCTAGTTTTAAAGCATGGCTGTTGTCACTTGGAGGAAAAAAAGAGGCATAAATTAAGTGCAGCCAACATTAATGCCAAAGACACATGTCTAGGAGTACTATTATGGCTGCCTAGCAACTACAAAGAGTGAAGGAGAAAGCAGAGTGGGTATGCCAGAGAGGAAAAAGAGAAATACAGATTATGAAGAGAGAAGTCAGACTTCAGATCAGGTGATGGCTAACAAACCACAAACTGGTAACCGGTGAAAGTAAACCATCAAAAATTGGGGAAGAAAAGCGTAAAAACTAAGGCCAGGGTTTGTATATGTGTGTTTATCACCTTTATCATTTTGCTAACAAATAGGTATGGCATTATCGGGTGAGATACATAGTTAAAACACAAAAATAGCCTTTTACATACAGATATTGCTACTGCCATCTTAAACAGTTTGCTGTTGAATATGTAACTAGATATATTTTAAAAATATATTTCATTTATTGTAATTTCTGCCAGAAAATAAACAGATTCTTATGTTTCCTATTGAAGAACTGTCTCGTCACCAATAAAGTAAAATAACAAAGAAAAAAAGATTCTTTAGTAATGCATTTAATAGAATTATGTAAGTATATAATATTCATTTAAAAAGGTCAACCTATGTAAGTATATAATATTCATTTAAAAAAGATCAACCCAAAACATAACCACCTTATTCTTATATATTATATATTATAAAATTCAAATCACTTGAAACTGACATTAACATTTTGATACCGAGTGACATTTTAACTGATCATCCCTGTATCTAATTCTGAACAAAGCACCTTCCCTGTTGGAGCTCTGAAAATTCACTCACCTCTGTCCAAGGAGGCCTTGTTTAAAACAAGAGCATCTTCAATATCATAGCCACTGTAACTCATCACAGCAACTGTTGCATTTTGCCCAGCTGGCAGTTTCTCAAATTCTATCAACTCTATAGTCTTCGTTTTAACCATGGGTTTTTGTGGATATGCTAGTAGATACATGAGTGTATCAATTCTGTTCCGTTGGTTGTATCCAATGGTACCTTCATTGACATTGGAGAAAACAGAATGCCACCTACTAGGTCAAGTAATTAAGTAGGAATGAATATAAACACATTAATTTCAACTAATCAAAATGAAGAATATCTTCAGGTCAAACATTTCAAAAGCAATTACCATCAGAGTGGCTAACAACTTTTAAAATCAAATTTTCTTAGTAACATTAAAAACCCTACAAAGAAGAAAAATTACACTTAAAGTATACTAACAGAATGACTTCAACTTTCTGGATTTATACAACTGATCCCATTTGAGGAATTTTAGTCTCTACTGGTTAATTTCACTAGTAAGTCAAAAATTCTGAATTTTGTTCTACTATGTTGCAGGCACATTTCCAGTTGGTGAGGGAAGGTAACTGGAGACCACCACCCCGTGAGGGGCAAGGAGCTTATACAGTAGGACAAGCAGATAAATTTCATAAAAAAAAAAATCAACAATTGGAAAAAAGTTCTAAATGAAAAAGCAAGCAGGAAAAAAGGGAGGAAACAGAATGAAGAAGAGGAAAGTAATAGGAGAGAGTGGATTTATTAGTTTGCTTAACTATTCATTTATTAAGCAGTTAATAAAAACCTACTTTGTGCCCAATGCTGATGATAAAATGGGGGAAGGCACGGTCTCTTCCCTAAGGAATCCAGGGCCCTGTCCAGTCAGGGATGCACTTTTCCCCCTTAACAATCAGCCTTTCCAACCTGATTAGAACCGGAGGGGTGTTATCATCAACTGAAGTCAAATCAGAAGGTTTCTCCGTTTTCCCCACCAGAGTCTGTTAGGGTTCACAGACCTGCCCGAAAGAAAGGATTTCTCTTATGGGCTTGTGAACACAAAGCTGTTCCTACTGAGAGACCTTAAAACTGGGAAACTCCTGTTTGTCCTACTGCTGACCTTGAGTATGGGCTACTCTTTAACTTCTCCTGGGTATCTCTTTTTTCCCCCAGTGGCTAAAAAGGTAGCTTTAAGTCTCTCTGAACATGCTTCCACAGTAACACACCCACAACACCCACACACCCCAACACGTCTATGTACCATTTAATAGAGTTAAGCTTTCGGGTGAGCAGATACCCAAACTCAGTATTTATTTCCTTTATACTTTTCTCTGTATTCATGTCATTAAATCAACGATTTCAATTCAGGGATGATAATAATCTGTTCAGGCAGCAAAAATGTGGTGCTCCTTGATGATTTCTCTTGAAAGAAATAATGAAATCTCTAGGGTGTTAAAGAAACAAGCACCTAGTACAGTGCTGGGCTGGGCTCACTACAATCGCTCAACAAATATCAAGGAAATGAAACTGAAGTCAAATTATACTTTTTATGACTGTATATATATTTCTACTAGAAAATTTATCAAGCTTCAGCTGAAAAAACGGTAAACCGAACCTCATGAACTTTTTGTCAGGTTTATACTATGAATTGCCAATTTATGTTACTTTAGTGCCAACTAATAAACTGGGCAGGATACCTGGAAATAGATCACTTCCTGTTTTAGAAATAAAATCAGTGCTACTCCAATTGTGGTAAAGTTCACTGACAGTAACTTTGTCCTTTACATGAAATCATTTAAAATTTATGTTGAGATTTCAGCTCCAATTGTATACTTTACTTAGCTTGAGACAAGGGTTTGGGCAACATCCCACTACGCTGCGAAACATGTCTTCTGAAACTGAGACAGGCATTATTATGCAGCAGGAAAGCATAAATGGCTGCACCTCTTGACAATAGTGAGATTGGATCCTGTTATAAATTGGGCTATCAGAACCAGAACATAATTCTTGGGTATTACAACTGACTGTTGAATGGATTAATAACAATGGTTTAACAAATGTTTGGTGCTTGTGATTCCATCAGAAATTTTTCTTTAAAGACTTTATAAAGAACTTGCAGAAGTATACATACATATACATTTTTAGCAGCACTGACTATGGGCATGTCGGTTAAAATCTGAATTATGTTATAAAACTTCTGCCATCACACCCTGTAATTTTTATAAAAATTATGAATGACTAGCTATTTTGCCAATAAGCATGAATTTTTGAGAAAATGTCATGCAGAAATTAAATTGAAGGCTAGTGTGGGTGAAGCACATGCTCAAAGTAGGATGCTCTATTGCTACTCTGAGCTTCCTTAATAAGGGCACTGCATATATATAATAACTAACTATAAGCTGAATTCTCCTTCTATTGCCCCTTTTGCTATAACTATTTAAGGTAGATAACATTTTATTTAAGCCAATGATTTCATTTTCTTACTATCTAGGACATAATCTTAGAAAGGCATATTTTCTTAATCATTACTATCTTAAGAGGCCACCAGTTGGCATAACAAGATATGTAAATACAGGTTAAAATAGTGAAGAACTTTTTATTTTAAGCAGGGATGAAAAAAGGTAACAATGCTCAGAGCTTTGGAAATGTATACTGAAAAAAAATTAAATGAAGTTCTATGCATTTAAGTATTTTTTGTCTTCCTTGCCCAGTTCCTTTTTATTTAACATCATTATTGAATACAAGAAACTTTGCCAATTTAATGTGTACAAATTGATGATGAATACATCTGACAGATGCACACATCTCTGAAACCACCACCACAATCAAGGTCCAGAACATTTCCAACACTCCCAAAAGGTCCTTTTCTCCGTTCCTAGCCCCAGGCAACCACTGATCTGTTTTTTTGTTTTTTTTTTAACATTAGGGATTATTTTGCGTTTTCTAGAACTTTAAATAAATGGAATCATACGGTGTGTACTCTTGTGCCGCTTCTTTCATTTAGCACAATGCTTCTGAGATTCATCCCTGTGGCTGTATGTAGCATAGTTCATTACTTTTTATTGCTGAGTAGTATTCCATTGTATAAAAGGAATATCCATTTTGTTCACCCATTCACCTGCTGATGGATATTTGGATTATTTCCAGTTTCACTGCGGAGAAGGCAGCTGTGAAGAATGTTCAGGCATGAAGTCTGTGTGTGCTCATTCTCTTGGGTAAATACACAGGAGTGAAATTTCTGGGTGGTTTGGAAAGGGTATGGTTTACTCCAGGAAACCAACCTAGAATTTTCCAAAGTGATGATACTATTTTTCATTCTTACCAACAGCTTATGAGCATTTTGGTTGCTTCACATTCCTACCAACACTTATTAAATATGTCAGCATTTGTCATTTTTTTTAGTTATTCTAATGAGCATGTAATGTTATCTCATGGTTTTAATTTGCATTTACTAGACAACTAATAATATTGAACATATTTTCATGACCTTACTGGTCATTCCCATTATTCTTTGTGATGTGTCTGGTTTTTGTCTTTGTTTTACCATCTTTTAGTGGAGTTGTCATATTATTAAAGAGTTCTTTATATATACTGGATACAAATCCCTTATCAGATATATGTATTGTTAATATATTCTCATTCTGTGGCTTAATGGTGTCTTTCATATTCTTAACAGTATCTTCCAAAGAGCAAGTTTTATGTTGAGAAAGTCCAATTTATTTTTTTCCTTTTTATGGTTTATGCTTTTTGTGTTCTAGCTAAGATAACTTAGGTCATGGCTATGATGATTTTAAGTTTTTTTTCTGAACCAATAGCAGAATTCTAAAGAACAATTGCTGGGGGCAATTTGGACAAGACATCTTTTCATTTTGTACCCCCAAATGGATAAAGAATAATCTTAAAAAAAAGTTCAGAGAGTGGAAGAGATGTAGAATGAAATAATTTTATGAGGATCTTTGTATATTATGTGATTTTAATATTTTAAAATTCTCCAGCCTATTTCTAGTACATACCATCCTACTGTAAAGTGAGGAATACAAGAGAAGGAACTAGAACTATTTTGCTTAGGAATAGAGTCTATTGAAAACAAAAGCAGAAGCTGCATTAACTCCTAAGTTCAAAAAAAGTCCCAGCAATTTGGAGTTGAAGGGGGAAGCGCTGGTGAGAAGCTGGGGCTTGGGAGGTATGTGATGCATATTCATTAATTGAGCTGATAGTGACTGAAAGATCCTTTTAAATAGGAGAAAGTGTTCCACTAGAGGATTGCCAACTAATAAAATGGGCAGGATATGAAAGCGTGACTCATGTGAACTTGGCTTCTGGTGCCAGGGGGAGTGAGTACGTACAATGTAGCTCCAACACAGCCTTTGCTTGTAGCACTGAGTGACCTGGAGACCTTGCCGTTTCCACACCCGTCTACCTGACTTTTTGCTCCGAATCATGTCACAACAAACAGCTGTATCTACGGGAGGGAGGTGTTTCTCAGTAGCACAGTGAGATGCTGTGTGGAAACCTGAACTTTATTACTAACAGAGAGCCTTACATTGAAGGAACACCCTCTGCTTGTGTTTCATGCTGGACTGAAGTCAGCTCTCTTACATACAAGGTAAGGTTTTTAATCTCTGTGGTTTGTGCTACTCTTGGTCTCCTTTGTAGTGAGAGAAAATGACTTTTCTCATTTCTTCACTCCACTCTATAGAATGGAAGAGGATGGTATTGAAAGGCAGACAGCAAATTTTCCGGGTTGGCTAGCATATTTAGTGCATTGATTCTGGGCTACTGCTGTCCACTTTCCACATGGACTAATGGATGAACCAGAAACTAAAATATTATTTTAGAAGATTCACACAGAATCTCTGAGATGTATATAGTCTTCAGCAATGGTTCATATTTAAAACAAAATAGTGAAAATTATCAGCTGTCAAGGCTGCATGGAATTAAGATGACTCAGAGGATCCCAACTCAAATGCGGGCTCTGCTTTACAGACCTGGGTCTCTGTTGTGGGTTTTCTCCTTCTGCTGGCCTTTTTTCCTTTTGCGATTTTTCATAGACCTCGCTCAATACTTCTGCAGCTATTTCAGTGTTAAAAGCAAAATGTGGCCATGTTATGTGCCAACTTCAGATGTACTTTTATCTCACTGCTTTTCTTTCCAGTCAGGTGTTTTATAATAACAAACAGTAACAAAGACTTTTTTTTATTACTTAAGATATTCAGTGGCTTTTGTCTTCCTACCGTCAGCAGTAACGTCAGAGGATTGTATC